TATTAACCTAAGAACTGCGGCATGTTGAGGAGATAAACAAACAAACTGAAACTTTCGCAGCTACCTTTCAGCTGTCAAGGTGCTTGAGAATCCAACATTGCTCACTACCCGTGGTTTAGAGCTTCTGTTCTAAGACTTAGGCCCCCTCTGTATAGGTGATCCATACTTCAACCAAAATACCTATGTGTCTGTTGTTATTGGAACCCTATGGTAGCTCCCCTACATGTTTACAGCTTGTCATGTTTTTTACTCAATTCAATGAGATCATATTTCCTCTGATGACTAGAGTTTCCAGCAGCGTCGGTTCTTCCTGTCGCAACGATCCTAGCCAGCCCGTGATCGAAAAAAGTCGATTTCCTTCAAGATCACTCTTTAGATTCTTCTTTTGCTTCAAGAAATATTCTTTCGAAGTTGCCGTCAATGTCCTGACGTCATAAGAATACCAAAAAGCCTGAAGCAATTGATGTTTATTTCGTAGCTCAATACGGATGGCGGCCATTATCAGATGTGGAGCAAATTCAGCGTAATAGCATCGGACCCTTATCGAAGGTAGTGCACTTTCAACCAAGTTCTGAGTAATGATTGTCCAATTGAACGCCAGTCTTTCGCACAACGCCATTGCGTTGAAAGTTTCTTTTTCACAGGTGACCTAGAATCATCAAGTAGTTCCCAGCCAATTTTGGGCTGGAATAATTTTTTCAGTACTTTCAAAATCGACCCTATGGGAGTGCGCCTTCCCTGCCACTATAAGTTGAGCCCCGAATTATTGCTATACAGCTTGCTTCTGCTTGTCTTGTAATAAAATTTCACTGTGAGCCAAGTTGTGTAGTTTTTAGGGCTAAAAATAGGCGTTCCTACACAAAATGGGGAAGAGTTCAGATGGTTTCCTCTTAATTTCCTCTAAATATCCTGTGAATCTCCCTGAAAACTCCGTTTTCGAAAATGTACTGAATTCAAGCAACTCATGATAGAGGAGAGAATAATGACGACAGCTTTTCCGCTTTAGTTCTGAAAGGAAGCCAAAACAACCTCGTAACGAAAAAGGCTCTGAGTAAACGTTCACAGTCTTTTTGAAATGGCATCAGCACGCATTCCATCTCTTTGAATAAAAAAAAGGTACACCTGAGAGCTGTCCTCTCTTAGTGACAACTCAGTTCCAAAGAAACAAGACATTCTAGCAGCTCTCGCAAACCAAAAATCGACTTGTGTATTCGTACGGAATAAAAGCATCCATCGTTTTTTCCTTTGTTCTTTTTTCATGTTTCTCAATACTTGAGTCCTCCGTTTTAATAGCATTCAGATAGTGGGTACGGCTCCGTTGTTTTTTTTATTCCGGGAAAAAAATGCAATTAATTTTGTTGATTGAGTTGCTTCCCCAACACTGAATCTTCCTTTGACAGTTTATTTTTTTTTTGGAAAATTCCTTACATCCGTCGAACCTTTTCTTCTCATATTGGCAGCTTGCTCTGAAATTTTGTTGATCATCGTTTCTTGAGAGAGATCGTTCAGTCTTTGGCAGTAGGAAAACCTTTTTTTCGTAGCTATCCTTATCTTTTAATTGATGTGAACCACACTAGCGGGGCTCAAAGGTCCAACTATCAGAGCAAAAGCAATTCCAAAACAAAGAGTAGAAATCAATTGGCAGGCTGTGCCACAAGACTAGGCTGAACACTTTGTAGGGATTTGAATGAGTTGGAAGATATTTTCAACCGCCAGTTAAGGATGTGTGGCTTAACGGCTGCAAAGTCTCCACGGACCCGGGAGCGAAGGCAGTCGGATCCCGGAAGTATTATCTGAAATTCTGAAAAGAGATTCCCTTAAATGATACCGTAAATGTGATAGTGGGGAGAATTTCTCACGATGTTCTTGTAAGTGTACGAAGGTGGGAAACGGTGGAGTTTCGAAAATAGAAGGCTATTATTCAGTAACAGAGATTGAAACCTGGTACAGGCCTATCAGGCTCCACAACCGAAGTTTCCCATCTACTTGTCATAAAGTTTGGTTTTCGCAATTTGCGTTCTTACGGAACTTTATAAGCTTAATCTTTTGTTATCAGTTGAGCCTAAGCGGTTGAATTCGATAACTTTCATGTCTTAAAATTACCTTTTACTGAATATGATAGTTGCTGGATAAGTAGGCAATAGAACTTTGGACTGAATCCAACCAGTTCCTTCCAATTTTCCAAGCACGTCTCATAGGATCAGAGGCGGAAACCCCTTTGATTAGAGTCGCGTGAATGTAATTTACTTTACACCGGCGCATCCTAGCCCATGTTCCACGGAACTACTCGTCCCACCTGTTTACGAACGGAGAACAAGCCGCTCAGTTTGTTCTGCTTTGAGACCTCATCAATCAGTTCCTTAGTTACAGAATATGAGTACCTTCTTCTGAAGTTAGGACTTCATCGGTTACTGTGCCAAATCTTCACCCCAACATTCCTTTTGCTCCATAATACTTCTGACAATTGGCACCGACCTCAAAATTTTGAATTCCCGCAATATTCCGTTACGCCTCAGTATCCTACGCTGGTGTGCTTGTCTATCGCCAGCATCCCAGAAATTCAATTTCGGGTGAATTTGCAGCTCACCAACCTTCCTGATGAGTTGACAGAACAAAAATTTCTCTGACGTCGTTTAACATTTTCTTTCTTATGAAATCCTCGCAGCGTGTTTACGTACGGCAGATTTATTTTTTGAAAGATCCGGTTCGCTTTTTCCAAGTAATCAGCAATTCATGCAAAATTAGTCGTCTCACACTGTTAACATCTAGTTTTCTCTTGAAAAAATAAATCAGACTGCTATTCAACAGTGAATATCATGCTTATTGCAGACTACTCTGGTCGATACTCGCCTAGGGGAGTCAACGAAGGCAGTTTCTTTCGGTGATGGCATCGAATTTCCTCTGTGCGCCCTCACGAATAGCAATGAGAAATCGAGCTTGTTGTGTAGTGCCCTCGGTTTTGTTGAGCAGAATCCCGTTAACAATCAAAGGTCCTACACTGATATGAAGGTGACCTGAACAAGGTGGTAGCGGCCACCAGATGCTTACCAGGGCTTTATGGCAGCAGGCCATACACCAGCTCCTCGAAGCATTGCAAAACACAACCTCTCATTGCGCGTGGCCACCCAAATATCCCTCAGCAGCAGGCGGTTATTGATCATCAAATGAAATACTTGGCAATGGTATCTACTTATGGCAGCGATGGACGGCCTGCCACATAGCGCCCTTCAAGGGTTCTTTGAAGAGCCCGATGAAGTTGTTCAGACGGTACCGGGTGGAACCGTAGCGGTAGGAAAATGTGCTGCTCTCCTTTGAGCAGTGGGTGGATAGGAAGAGGATGAATATTAAGTTTTCAATTCCTTCAATCCAATCTGTACCAAGCAGTTTGAGAGCGTAGAAAACGCCAAATTCACCATCACCATGACCGTAATCGTGGCGTTTATGATTGATCCTGAGAGGTATTACTACCATTACTGATCGAGAATAGCTCAGAATAGTAAGGCTTCACATTGAATATCCTGAGTTACTGGTTGATTCAGATGTCATTTTGAAGAACAAGCTCTTCGCAGGACAATCGAATTTCTCGAAACTTAGTTGTGAAGGTAGCCATGAGTTGCAGAAAAAAGTTTCAGAATCCCACCTCTCTTTCAAAATATTTCTTCGCATTTATGCAGGCCTCCGCTTACTTTCTTTAGGTTAACCATAATTCATGAAGGCTATGTTTAATTCAGCACTAGAAGGTGCTGATACTATGGGCCACGAAGAGCTCCGAACAATATGGGTTCTCACAACGATTGTCCTAGGGTTTACGATTTCATACCAATGTTGGTATGGACAGAAAATTTATTCGGATGTAACTTAGTCGCGGCAAGTCGGTGTCCTGTGATCCCTGCTATAATCAGAAAAGGTCCAGGAACCCTATAAGATCAGAAAAAAATAGTAGCTTTCGAATTTGCGACTCCAATTCCAATGTTATCTCTTCCAAGACAATTTCGAATGAGCGTGTGGGCTATCGGCTTCGTTGGGAGGAACGCTTATTTATCGTTCTTCAATTTCGTCGAAAATGAGAGGCACAGCCCGTATTATTGCCTATTAGGTCTTTGAAATAACTTGAATCGCATTCACATCGCAACCACAGTTATTTAGTTTCATTTGCTCCCATCTATCCAACTGGACTCGTTTAGGCCTGACGGATTTTAGCAGCGGAACATCGCTCTTGACCCCTTGTGACAGTGTTGATTAAAGTCAATTAGTATCCTTCCTTCACTAGAGGAACTCTAAGGCCAGGACTTTGCTCTTATGCGATCTTTCCGCATATCACTTTCAGTAGCTCCGAATACACCCGAGCTGTTGCTAATTCACTGCTTTTTTGGGTGAAAATCGCTGCACTCCTCCATGCTTCCAGTGGTAATCTTTGTAAACGGGAGAGCACAAAAAATGGGCTTCCCATGATGGTAAGTATGTAGGTATCTGAACTAGTAACACGGCCGAAGGCAAGTTCGAAGGCTCTGGTAAACAATTTTTCGTTATGGAACCTTGTGCTCGGCCTTCCTCAGAATACTGTAGGATTTTAAACACTTATTTTTGTGATTTCTTCGGATCTGCCAGCACTTTTGTCATCCTTTCACATCATAAATGATTTTGGTAGAATTTTCATTGAAGCAATTTATAGCTCCCGTAAAATGCTCCTAGTAACAGGGAATTCTCCTTGACAACCACCTTTACTACTCCATTTTTCAAGGGAGTAAGTAATTTTTCCTTATGTTGACCATGACGGAATGCTGTTTTTCATTATCTTCCATTTGCTCCGAGATGCTTAACTCGTTCAAGCGTACTTCCTTTGCTTAGGAAATCATAAGGAACCCTTCGAAAAGAACACTCCTTGATGACTGTTATGCTCACTTCCATTAGAGCCTTAAAAGTTCCCTTGGAAACGTTGCAGTACTTCTTGTTACGCTTGAATAGATGCACATGAGAGCAGCATTTTCAGGCGACCTCTGATGGCTCCCTCCACGTCGTCTGAAGGCATGAATGGTGATGTGGTGCCGATGGCGACAACGCCAGCGATGCCTACACCGGCTGCGAACGGCGGCGCTCACTACATCTATTCCCGCAGGTATCAGTTTTCATTCCGATTCTGGCAACGACGTAAGAAGAGCTTGACGCCGTGCCTATCTCCTTTTCCCTGAAGTGCAGTGTCAATCAGCGAGTAGTGTGGATTCGAATCCCCTGAGAGCTGAAATCTGTCCACATAAATCGATGATGACTTGTGGACGGGCAATAATGATCGAATGCGGGCGCTGCGTCTTCTCCGAATTACTAATGAACCCTAATTGCACTAGTTTCCAAAACGGAGCTCTTCCATTCCACGCTCCTATTGAAAAAATCTGCACTTCCCATGCTTTCGCGTAGATGGTAGAGTGTTATGTCTGGGAAAGCCCTCATCATTCCCTTGGTGCTCCTTGGAAGCAGTGAAAGGAGAAATTTACATTCCGAGTGCGTCCTAAATAAAGTAAGCCGTTCGCCAAGCTAATTCGCTCCATGACGACCTTGAGGGCGACTACTAAAGTCAAAAGTGTGGTAACGAATTTTGGCGAATGCAAAGTTTTGATGAGATTGATTTTCATAGAGTAGGCAAAACACTATTCGAAAAGATCAATTTGTTGGAATTCCCTCGGCTTGCAACATTTTTGGTGCTCCCAATCTGTGTGCTGGAAAGTCACTCTTCTTTCAAGTGACATATCGCAATCGAAGTCGCCTGTACAGTAAATTCAAAGTAGCCCTCGTAGTCCAAATCTGGGTCACTCGAACTTTGTAAGGACGTGATGTTGATGTCATCAGCGACCTCCTCGAAAGCTGAATCCTGCTCTCTTACAGCTCCACTTTATGCTAGAGTGATGAAACTTGCTAGTGCTAGAAAAGTTCCAAAAAACGTTACCCTGAGGTACGTGAGACCCCAATTAGGACCGAGAGATAATGTCTATTTCTGAGTTACGAACATAATCGGTTTAGTCAACTCTGCATGTTGGAATTTTGGGCGTAATCAGCCTTTTACCTATTTTTGTCACAGTAAAGCAGCGGCAAAAGCTATATATCAATAATGACGGCCAGAGAAATGATCGAAATTTGTCTTTTCAACAGTTTTTTAGAGAAAGTTTATAGCGCCCGTTGCCTCAGGCTCAGCAACTGCCAACAAGTGCCAAAATAAACTGGGCCAGCCCGCATTTATTTTGACCTGGTCAATAGAAATTTTGTATTTGGTTCCCGTAATTCTGTTTTAAACCTAATGAAGCTTGAAGTTGTGATGTCAGCAATATCAAATGGGTAATTGCTAAACTGGCGAGCTTTTACTCCCAGACTCTTTCGAGGGAGGAGGGCAGAGCGAGACATTTACGTCTGAAGGTTTCTCACGTGATTACCACTTAAGCCAGTTAGTTGTTTTTCAGTGTTAGTGCAGGCGCAATTCATGAGAGACCTGCCAGTCACAGTAAAGGATTCTCTCAAAGGATCCTGGTCGAAATATGCTTCTCTCAAACGGCCCCTACTGAATTGTGTCCGTGCATTTATTTTTACTCATTAGGAAATCGCCATACGCATCTTGAAACAAATTCTCTCTACATCCTCAAAGCTATCTGCCCCTGCGAATCGTCTTCCGGTTGTCCTTGTTCTGACAATTTTACCTTGTCCGCTGAAGCGATCTGCCACTCAGACTGATGCAGTAGCCATTGTTTTGAGCATTTCTCGGGCCAGTATTAGCATAATTATCATAGAGAAATTCGCCCATTGCTGCTAAATTATGATGACTGAATAAGTGAGAGACAAGGGAACCATGCATTGCTGAGGACCTCCCACGAAAGGAAACAGGTCTCCCTCCAGCTGCTCTGTAGAATTCGCGATGAAGAAGGGCGTAACTGACACAATGTACGTCTAGGAAGTGAAGGAACTCTTTCGGAGGAAAAATTCGATGTTGAATCCAGTAGCTAAGTTGGAAAGTGGTGCTATTCCGAATGCGCTACCAGCTCTCATCAGAAGACCTCTACCGGTATGGCAACGTCATTGTAAGCTACAGACATCTCATAAATCAAACCGGATCCCTGGTTGAAATCGCCATAGATGCATACACCATAAAGTCACTAGGATTTTACTCTCAAGAAAATGAGCATTTGTTTCTATCGTTCAGAAGCACAAAAAACCATGGATTGGTACGCTAGTTTTTCAGCACTCGTAAAGTGCCTTTGCGTTTGAGAGCACTATGGGAGCTGAGAGGAAGTAGTGTGCTTTCTGTTGTTCGGATAGTTCTCGATAAGGGTTCCACTAAACAATTGAAGTAGTTATCTGTGTCATTCTGCTATTTTGTAATGATACATAAATGTTCAGATTCAGAGAAACGCCAAGTGAAACGTTCCCACCACCACCGACGGAATACTGTGAGACACTCAACGAACACACGGGTGTTGTCGAAAGCAGTTCCATTATACAAGTATGTCAGTGTTCATAAATAACAATCATAATGCAGTATGTATGTTGTGGTTAAAAATGTGACACATGCTTATCGACTTTTCATCGGAGGCCAAGCAGGAGGAAGAAATGTAGGGGTTGATATAAGTAACCGTAAACAAGTGGAATAAGTCCAATCGAGCATACTCAAGATTGCATCATGGTGGTTACTCTGTTAAGTTAGTTAGTTTAGTTGGTTAAGTGTCAGGCGTACCATTTTTGGTTCCGAAATAAATCTATCGAATTTGTGGGCTATATGTCTTGGTGACAGCAGTTACCCATTATGTATAAATCACTCTGGAACCCCTTCATGATACATGCATTTGCTGTGCTCTTGGGTATTTCCTCTCGTTTTCTGTCTAATACACCTCTTACCATGGTTCTGCACTGCATTCATTTCTCATATATTAAATATCTTTCATATGAGCCGCTGGCAATCAACCGCCTACTCGCCAGCGATTGCGAAAAATCGAGAAGACGTGACTGCTCCTTGAAATGCGATAGTATGAATATAGAGCTACCTCAGAAACGTGAAGGGTACTTTGAATTAGAAAAAGTGCAAAGAAAATCTTTCTGACGTAAACACTGCAAAATGAGCCGTTCTCTGTTTGCTTTTTGCGACAGACTCTGATCCCCGTTTTGTCTTTCCTGGGAACTCGGACTCGCTTCTCACCTAGCACATCTTTGCTACATAAAAACAACTAAGCACATAAGCACAACACATCTAAAGATGAGTAAAGAAGCCACTCTGAGCTTAGTTGTTTCGAATAGGGGTTGCTAAGCGAAGGCAATATTTAGCAGGTTGAACTAAATAGGGAGGAGGAGGTGACAAAACAAATTTCTTCCCATTCCTTTTCTTTTGGCAAATGATTCTGCCTCAAAAGATTATTGAAGGAACTAGGTGGCCACTAGAAATGATTATTTTCCAGCCGTGCTCCTCCCGTGAACAAGACGACACCGATATAGAAGACGAGATTGTGAATACGTTCCGGAAGAAATCGTTTATTGTGCCGAGTAAGAGCCAAGTACTCTTCTACCTGTCCACCTCGCGACATCTTCGGATACATCACACTGGCTGTGAACTCCAAGTAAGAACTGCTTTTATTTGTTTTTTGTTCTCATTATTGGTATGCTTCAGTGTTAATATCTTACTTATCATCTTCCTTCACCATAATTAAATGCTCCCATCCAATATAAAGGGTGTTCCAAAATTACAGACCCCAAGATTCAAAAACATTTTGGGACGAATTGTTCCTATCCATATCATTTTATTCGATACTAGTTAGTTGCGCAGCATTTCGTTTGAAATCCGCATAGTTATCGGGTTGGATATCCAATATTTTTGAGATGGTGAAAGCTCATTCATTGCGGCTTACAGTAACTCGCATGTAAGTAATGGGGAGGGCATTGTAAAGTTTTCGTGGTGCCAACAAGGACCTACAAAAGATTACACAACGGTAACAAAAGTGGGAACTATTACCAGCAAACCCGGAAGGAGCAGAAAGGCCAGTGTTCCTAGCGGTAGGACTTATACCGTACGTGAAAATCCTAACCTTGGGCGATCCATGAAGAGGATGACAACGGAGCTGGAGTATCAATGGGGCAGATTATCCGATGGGGCAGATTATCAGGGCTCATTGCCGTTATTATCCTATGCAGAAATGCCCTTCCTATGTCAGTAGACAGTATATGGTTAGAAAGTGTGGAAAGTTGCTGACCCTTCTTTGCGAAGACACTCATCCTCCCGTCATCCTCTCTGACAAGCAAAACTTCCCTTGGAGCCATCCTAGACAAATAAGACGATCACATTCTGGCCAGAAACAGCGAAAGGGCTATCTCTCGCGAAAAGTTTGTTGCAGGAATAGTAAATTGATCATTCGGGAGGTATCAAGGAGAATGCTAAATCGTCGTTGGTTTTTCTTTCCGGGGTGAAATTCGACAAAAACGTGCCCAAGCAACTACCGATGATAGTACCGGAGCCTCGATATGTTTTCCCTCTTTAAAGTAGTCTTCCAGTAAAGCGGCACTCCTCCCCACAGATACAATCTCTGACAGTTCGAAAGTGGGGGCCGATGCGAATTGCCCAACCCCATTAGCACCAAGGCTAGGCCATAAGGCTTCATCAGGTCTTAATCAACCTAATATACCTGTTTGGCTCCTAACTGGAGCCGGGCCTTTGGAATTGCCACCCCAGTTTAGAGTACTCTAAAGCAGGATTAAAGACCGATTAAGAAAAAAAAATGAAGGAGGGATCTTTGCGTGCAAGGTGCGAGAGATCGAGAATGAACTTCGGACCTATGTTCATGTTGCTTGAGGACATTCTGAGATATGATTGCAGCGTCTTGTTGCACATGTTGTGAGCATATGAATTTTATGTCATTCCCAGCTTAGAGCCAAAAATACATTACGATGAACAAGCGTCCATATTTTTGAGACATCCTTTACATACATCGGTCGCCAGGGAGTGATTGAAAATCGTTCGGGGCAGTATCAATGGACGTATGCTAATTTGAGCACTTCTGAAAATGCGGGGAGCGTTCATTGTCAGATCTCTCCACCTGTTCATGCTCCCTTGTCACTGAGGTGTTCGATCAACGGACAGCTGTCATCGATCAAAGCGTCCAGTTTTCACAAGCTCTTGGTCTTTTTATTCCGCGGAGTTTCCGTCGTCGCTACGTCTAATGGTTTCGTCTAGAGCCGAGCACTTTTCAGTTCATTTGCGTCAATGCTGAAGTTGCCGTGAAAAAGCATATTTCCACCAGGAAGCAGTGGACTGAGTCTTCTACTAAAAAAAGGGAACCCGTAATCCTGAAGCTGTTATTTTTCGAAGTCATTGAGGAAAGGATTTTTTTGAAGAGCACTGGTACGAACGACTAGCCTGATATTCACGGAGGCGCTTTACCCGACTAGCATTGCATTTAAATGATGTTCATCTTCTCACACATTCATTCCCCCCCCCCCCCCCCCCCCCCCCCCCCCCTCCTCCTGAAACGTCCCCGTTCTTGCCGTCCGGAACTCCGTAAGAAGCCAGTATTGAAACTGAGCCAGTTGCAAGCAATCATGCTGTCACTGTCCGCCCACATGTTCATCACCAAAAGTGTCTCCCTCTTAAGATGCATTTGAACGTTGTTTCACATCCGCCTGCGGTCAGCGGTTGGTTCTTGCTTGCCCTCCGCAAACGAACAGCTCCAGGCTATGTAGAAACACAAAACTATGTTGCCTTTTGCGAGTCACTTGGGCTGTGGATGGGAACTACAGCGATTAGCTGCTTTGCGAAATAGTCAGCTACGGAAGAAATAAAAATCGAGCAGCATGATATTGCTGAGGCCCTAGGCTATGCCACGTTATGCTATCTCAACCATCCTCAGTAGAAACTTTGGCCTCCCGGAGCCGCTTAACCTCATTAGTATTCTGCTTCACTGCGCTCGTGGCCCGGCCATCGATCCCGAAACACTGGGAGTGGAACATCACGCCTCACCTATTCGGCCATCCGTAGAAGCCCCTGGAAGGTCCGACTCAGACCCACCAAGTCTCCTCATGAAAAAACGAACCTGAAAGCAAAAACCACCTTCTAATAATAGAAATCATCCATACTGTCTACTAACTCAATCTTTCCTTGGCACTTTTTCCCTTATCTTCTGGTTGCTTGGCACCCTTCCAGCTCATGAGCCGCCGCAAACTCGATTATTACCTTCCATAGTAACACGACTCAATGGAGCGAACTTCCATTGGTTAAATGATGACGTCTGAATCGTAGCTTATGTAGTTCACACGCTGCTAATAATTGAATTTGTGTGCGGTTATGCCGTTTGTCGCATTTTTTCAGCAATCGTCATTGGGAGACGCGGGTGCATGAGAAAAATGGACGTCGGTGGCAAGGCAGCACTGAAATAACGAAGTTCTTCCAGTTACTCAGGGCCTTGCGCAATTTACCCAAAATAACTTCCAGGAAGGGTGTGCCTTCCGTATTCCCCCAAAAAAGTCGCAAATCAGGGCTCTTAGAACGGTAACACTACCAAAAAGGAATTTTGCTCATAAAGAACACTTGAAAAAGAGCACTTCTGTATGGGGACAGGAGAGGAGTCCTGTGAGCATATGTGGATAAACTGATGCTGAGCAAGTGGCAAGTCTTACGTGTTTGATAAAGTATGGAAAGAAGTTGACATAAAAGTGTATAGAACTCAATCTTACTCCCGATCAACCTGGGAACGACTTCAGTAATGTGTTCATATTGAATCTGTACTGGAACGGGCCGAAATCGAGAGACATCTTGCCTAAGTAGCCTCGATACTTGCTGTACCCCTCGACTAAAGAAAAATCGTGAAAATTTTGAGTTGTTTAGCCTACATTAAGGTGTCACAGCAGTGACGGTCTCACCCACACCTTCATCAATCGGCGCCTGTAGTTTTGTAAGCTCCCTTCGTATTCGATTTTCCTCCCACACCGACTCAATATTCTAACATTCTGTTAGAGTGACGGGGTGTCAGTCCGTATTATTATTCAGAAATCGGTGGGAAGGGATGGACAGGGAGTGTTCACAGCTCAGCTAGCAGCATTACTAATCAACCCAGCTTGAAGATAGTCCTCAACGACGGCTCACGAACCTACCGCATTAAGATCATCACCGCTTAAAGACGATGTAACAGTCCTGTCCCCAAGGCTACCATCGCAGTAGGCTTCATCTAGATCCTTCAATTAGTGTGTGTGAGGCGAAGGTGTCCTTGAACCTCTATGGTGTGTTTTCGGTTACGATCTGAAGGCAACGACAAATATGCGGCCTCACCAATCAACGGTGCTCCTGAGAAAGTTGTAGTTCATCTTCCCATAGAGTGCAATCCTTCTAAGTGTGATGTAATTAATGTATGTCTATAAATTGTCCCTGCACTTGATCAGCTATTTTTCATTGGCTATGACGGTAATGCTTTCGGTGCAGGTGCGTGAAAAGGACATCCTGTAAAAGAGTCTAAATTTCAGAACTGTGATGAATTCTTTTTCTTCCCAGATCTATCTCTCTCGATGCAACCCTCGTAACTCATCAAGAACATTCATGACTTCCATGAAACCACTCTCTGTAATTTTGAGGGCTGTAAATGTGTGAAGACTGTCGCGATTAAGTGAGGATATTTATGGGTATATCATCTTATGCCAATCCGATCATCGATCCATCCTATGGAATGGTAAAAGGATTTTTTTCTCAAAATGGGTACCATAAATATCCGTAGATTGGCTCGAAGCACTCAGGAAACCTCCTATGGAAGCTGTTCAGGTCGGAATTTGGGCGAGAAATGGCTTTTGTCGGGGTTGCGATAAGTATGAGCACTCTGCATCATCCACAAAGCTTCATGTACGCAAGACATGTCCGGGAATGAGTGGACAACTGTTTCCTGCTGAGCAGCGATCAATGCCATATTGTGGTCAGACCGAATGTGCTTTGATATGCATTGGGAGCGAGACTACACAGCACTCCCTCCTCACGACCAGAGCCCAAAACTGCTATGAGTCAGGGTGGGAGGAAGTGCGAAAAGAAAGCTGTTGAAGCAATGATTGACGGCGAAGTTCAATTTTTTGACACTGCGGAATCCTTTGTTCCCACATAGATTTATGAAGGCTGCACCGCTGAATTTATAATGCGTCTTACGAGGAGTTGGTTAATTGGGTTTCGTTCGTTGAAAAAGAGTGCTCGAATTCGAAAGCACATCAGCATCTACTTGTCCTTTTGAGTGACGAACATGTACGTTATCAACTACCAAACGAAAGCGAGGTGGAATGGAAGTTTGTGGATCATCCAAGTGGTTATATTGAATAATTTCCTTTTAGACATTCAACAGGACCACCGATTTTTGTCCACTCCACTGTTGCAGGGGCTTGTTCCCTCAAATAGAGGAAAATCAGTACTTTCTGTCTTAAAGGCACAGTTCACGATAATTTTGAGGTACCCCTTCTATTCAAAAAGTGAAAGTACATATAGGTTGGGAATAGTTCATCGGTAGTGAAGAAAACGAAAAAATTCGCCAGTTACAAGAAAAATAAGGCTCATGATATTTCCATCATGATATTCTCGTCCAACCCCTATGTTCCCAAAAAGTAGGGAACATAGGGATTGGACGAGAATATCATGATGGAAATAACATGAAAGGGGTATTCGGACGAGATTTCTGTTGTTGCAGTTGCGGAAAGAGTTGACTACATCAAGCCAGAACTGTACAGAACTGTCTTCCTCTGTCGCTATGGACCACGAAAAGTTGTTTGAACTTTCTATATGGGTTCCCTTGTGATCGGTGCAGCCTCTACAATGCCGTTGTAACTCGTCCAAGATGACCATGACGGAAGTGAAGAGGATACACGCGATACAAACTTTGGGCCTTCATAACGCCCTAACTAGGCCGTTTTCCAACCTGATGAGACATGGTATACTAGGGGCCACGAATTCATCCGATGAAGAAATCTCAGAGATCATTTCTACGTGAACTGTGCCTTTAGGTTCGACGCAATGCTCCCATAATGTTTGGAAAAAGAAGAGTTTGAAAAAAGTAGGAAAGAAAAATGTTCGGACGGCTCCTTAGAACTCGCTCTGAAAATCCTTACCTAACTAACTCTTTCTCAATAATCACATTCGATTCCAAAGGTCAAATGGATAAGGTAGATTGAATATCCGAAGGCTATTCTTGCTAGTCCGCAATCGCCATCAACTCATGGAGGACTTCTGATCCACCATTTATCAAAAGCTGGTATAATGAATTTTATTATAATTTAATGACGTAGCATCTATTATTTTCAAATACCTCAGTATGAGGGGGTGGGAAGAGAAGGGGAATGGGAATCCAAACTGGGAAGTAAAATCTCCAGAACTTTTTTCGAATCTCGTTTTTGAACTATTTCAGAGTCATCATCCACAGCATTTCTAATACATATTATGAACAATTCTTCCATTTAGAACGATCAGCACTTGGGTGCAACGTGATATTCTGACTGCGTGTACCCACTTAACCCCCCCCCCCCCCCCTTCCTCCATCCCCAAAGTTGTTACCTATTGGAAACTATTGGAAAATAGCATTTCTGGCGGAACTCAGATGTAGTTCAACATTCTGCAAGAACGGGGTAGCGTTCTGTTAGGTTGTTTGGTTTTGTCAGGTTACTAATGTGGAGTATTACTACACTTGAGGTCATGTCAGCCCAATGCACCAGACACATAGAACGACCCGAACTCTTGAGATCCTGCCACAAAGAGCCGTCAATCATTTTTCAATCATTCACGAAGTATTTTTAGGCTTTGTGTTACGTTCCCCTTCCCGGTACTACGCTTCCATTCAACTTTTACGTCTGTCATATGGAGGGTCGATCATGTGTGGAAGTGGTGTGGTAGTAAGTAGCGCACCATTACGTATGCATGGTCAGGGGATCAAATCCTCAGGTCAGTCAAGCTGTCCATCCCTCCGAGATCGGTTGATTGCTACCACGCTCATCCGGGAGGATAGCAGCACTGTCTCGTGCATCGGCTGGCTACCCCAATGAAATGAATAGGCAGCATACGCATCCCAAGTGCCACTGCGATCTAAATGAGGGTCGTGTGTAGGACGAAAACAGATCTATTGGAGGTCAGGAAACGTAACTATGAAGTTTTTCTGATTTGGACGAATTTACTATCCTTAAGCATACAATCCTGTCGGCGACTCGTCTTGGGGCACAGGGTTGGTACGATTCAAATCGCCTTGGAAACGCTCTCAAGTATAATAATTAAACGGTTCCGTTCGTAGTTGTTTGATATTTTGTTGTTGTTGCAAAGCCCAAATGAGTACGTGGAAACCTTAATAACAACCGAGATATCCATTCAACATTTACCCATCCTCGCCCAACAAAATTGAAAGCTCAAGAGGGATTAGGTTCAGGAGCGAAAAGCGAGCGGGTGACTATCCAGGATGTGTTGAACGGGAAACATGAGCAAGACATTTCTATACATAACACTTTGGTAAAAAACGTTTTAGATGTTCAATAAGTAGCTATACCACATGTTCCTGTGAGTTCTTGGAGACGTGATGCAGAACATTAGAAGTGACGTCTCCGATATAAAATGCCAATGCGCTGTTCACTTACTATACAACGTGCGGATTGACTCAATCGCATACCAGTAATCAATGACTGAAAGTCTAGAACAAATTCTTCAGGCATTAATTAATCAGGTCTGAAGAATGTGCCCCGCGTTCGAATTCCATTCACAATCACAGTGGTGTATTGAATGCGTATGAGCCCGATACAATGACTTAGGGTGGCCAGCCTATGAACAAATCAATGCTTTCATCTTACCAGACAAGGTGCCAATTGACCGACGCCCTAGGGCGATTATCGGCCAGGTCAATGACTACCATAATTTGAACCCGTGACCATGCGTGTGTGGTAGTGCGCCCCTCGCTACCCCACCACCAATCATTAAATAGCATAATGCAACATAACACCGCAAAGTCCTTTTACGAGTGCTCTGTATGTGTTATTGCCACGATGCTGTGTTAGTGGGGAAAGCAACAGATTCAGAGTACACAGCAGCTGCATCAGGCAAAAAAAACCTAACTAAGAAAACAACAAATATGAGATTTCAAAGTGATGAGTTCACGAACTCTTCAGGCAAGCTTCATCCATCTCACCGCTAAAGCATAATCTCTAGATTGAAAGAAAGGGTGACGTGAAAGCGAACATTATCTCCTGTCATAATCTTACAAAAAAGCGCTCGATAGTTATCGAAAATTCTAAGCTGTAACGAGGGTTTTTTCTCAAAAGTAGTTAAAATTTTGTCAAATGTGGTAGCACACCGTCGCAATCCAGCGATTGATGAAAAGTTGAGGGTGATGTAGTCATTATGTGTCCTGAAGTAATTTTGTAGACATAACTGCCCACGCAAAATTTACTCACGCATACGATCCTAGGCCGATATGGTATTGTACTTGTTTTCCAGTAAGGAACATCTTCTAGACTCGTAGAAGAAAAGAAAACCAGCTATGTACAGTCCTGAATGGATTGCTGCATAAACGCCTACATCCTTTTTTTACAGGTCACAGACTCTGCCGACTTTCCACTGTTCGACATATGGGTCGAATCATCCTGTTGCGGCCGGCCTGTGTGGGTGATGGAGTCGTACGGTGTGTTTTGAGACTATTCGTGTTTATGGCACTATTTGTCTGAAGCGTGGATATGTTAAAATTATATTTCGAAATATGAAGATAAGCAACGACTGGCTGGAGGGAGATTCTAAGTGACGCAAACTTCCTGTTGGAGGGGCAATCCCACCCTATGTAAACTACTCTTATCCTCTGCAGTGCAATGCTGCCCCTGTATTTGAAAGTCGACGTTTCTCGGTGGCTCGATTTGTCACGATTGGACTCACCAGTATAATGACTGCATTTAATAGGGGGACCTTTTGTGTGCCGGAGAATCGTTTCGAGCAGTAAGAATTTAAGAAGAATTCCAAGTAATTTCTCATTATATGACATGCTGCAGGAAATTGTCGGGAAACCAGTCTTTCTATGGTTGAGATTTTTCCATGCCTTTTTGAGGAACCCCGAGAACAACTCTCCGATAACCAGGGCGATACTGCACATCCCTTATCATAGGATCCTATACTAAAGTGCGGTGTTACGAGTCCCCAACGTTCCCTTATATCGTGATCAGTGCAGCCTAACCAGTTTTTCACCTCTTGCGTGACTCCCATTTTTCTGTAAAGGAGCAATAGAGCATTTTTAACATGAGGAGAGGGATGTATTTTATCAAATCTTACATTTCTTGCTGATGCATCAGTAACTGTAATAGTAACCGATAACGTGGTAATATTCCCATAAAAATAAAAAGGGGGAAGCGCACCGATTCCATAGCAATTTCTTTGCTATATACTTCCCTTTCTTTTCTGAAAAACGAAATCGTGAATTCTTTCTAGGTCGCCGTGTACTGGTTCTGTCCGAGTTGAGCAGAAGAGGTCTGACGTCATTCCTTCCCCTAATATCACTCTTTCGAAAAAGGGCCAGACATGCCGTCCAGAGTGTGATTGACTGGAATGGCGACCTCATAGGATATTTCTTACCTGGTGAGTGAATTTTTACTACATCTGGATCACAAATACTTGTCTCTTATTTAGTAAGATTCGTTTTGATAACAAGACCAGATGTTCGAAGGCCCTGACATGCAAGGGAATATCAACTATCTCGTTCATATCGTGGTAACCTCAAACTTCTAACGATCAAAACTGTAATTTGAAGCTCAGACCCTGCTTTTTCTCATCCTTTGAGCATCTTTACGAGCACTCAACACTCGCTATCCTGCCCTCGTATACCATTTCCTTCTTAAAGTTCTCGTGTCATTCCGCCTTTCCATCATCTTTAGCGTCTCTGGGCTTGAACCTGATTTTTTTTCTATTCGCGTCTACTCTCTTCTATTTCTTCAGCACCTTTACTCGGGTAGCCCTTCTTCCAACCTTATTACTTGACCTTTTTCCTCCTTCAGAGCACATTGTTCTTTCTTTCTTTCTTTCTTTCTTGAAAGCCTCTACCCAATAACTCCTCAATCCTACATCTTGTTGATGAAATCCGTTTCTTCGATTTTCTGTAGTTCAAAGTACATATGGTTTAGTGCTGTTATTATTGCGCTCTGCATGGGAACAACTTTTACTTCTCAAAAAGGTTAGAAGGGTAGTGGACTTTTCACAAGACTACCTCATCATATTCGCTTCATACGCCACTTTGTAGCTCTTTTAACGGTAGCCTTCAAGGACGTGCTCCGGTTGGCGACCCACCTTTTCGTGCATAGGTGCACGGCTATAATGGGTATGGCTTGTCCAGAATGGGAAATGGGACCTTTTTTCCTATTTCTATGCGAAAGTTTCGAAACATGGGGGGCGGGCAGATGACAGAAAAGGGTTAATGCACCGCTCTTTTCCATTCGAACTTTTACTGCTCTCGTAACCATTTGAGTATTTTACAGAGCAACATGGGCAATCTTTAGCAGGACTTGTGAATTCGGGCAAAGATAGAAAAAAAAGAGATCCCCAGCATTCAAGTTTTTTCTCGAATGATGTGTATATAGATACATTGGAAACTGTAGACATTAGATTCAACAGAAAAACACGAAATCCTTTTTTGAATATACATTCGCGCTAGTCAAGACTTATAAATTCTCGAAAAAAAAGTTGCACCCTTAGGAACTCTGTTGGTTTTGATGTGTACGAGGTTGACAAGACTCAAGGCTCAAAAAGTGCGCGTGATGAAGCTCCATTATGACTCATCCTGAACCTATGTGGAAATTTCGTCTTTGGCCCAATAATGCGCGACCTTTCTACTGACCTCTTTGGTGCCTCTAACACACCAAATAGTTCATTCGTGGAAAACATGGCTTGTTGTAGCTCTATCCAGGTTTCGAAGCCGAACATCAAGTCTCCGCTTCTATTGCTCATTCTGATATTTAGAGCCCAACCCTTGTTTTGCTTCAGGAGTGTATTTATCTCGTTCACTACGCTTTGTTGCTCTTTTCGATCTTTCACAGGAAAAAATGCATTGACTATCAAAGAATTCAGGAATTTCACAGTAGGCAGGCGGAAGCTGGATGTTTTCGATCTTCCAGACCTTTCCTGTTTCCGAAGTTTCCCATGGATGGAATAATTAGCAGGGAAGTGGCGCGAGGTTCAGGCAAGGGTCGGGGTATAGTCGATGTTACGGCCGTAAACATTCAGAGGAATAGTGGCAATCAGATTGGTTAGATTGAAAATATAATGGGAAGAATCTTACCTATAAAGAAAGTCTGGTTTACAAACGGGGCAATAAGGACTTGAAATCTTCAATCTTAACTAAAGGTACTGGGTTGAGGTGAGCAGAGCTTTCAGGTTCTAAACTTTTACTGATACTCCTTTGGATCGTATTGTATGAACCGTGTCAGCGCCGAATATTAGATGTCAAAGTTCCTTCGCAGTGCGTTATTGGTCCATTCATGAAGTGCGCCTCTCACCGAAACTGCAATATCTAAAATTTTGCACAAAGAAATGGGACTTCCACTGTCATACAGTGTTGACTCTGCTGGCTTCGTTTCCATTTACTGAGCTGGGGAAACATTGATCCAGTACAATTGTGAGAATTGCAATAATTAAACGAGCTCATTTCTTTGTTTATGTAAATGTGTTTTCGATTTCCTGGTGCTTCATCTCTGATTTCGAGTTGCTGTACCTTCGTAGCATTCAGCATAAACAATCAAGCAATAGTGAGAAAGCTCACCATTAAATTGTGGTCGCGTCTACCCTAGGGGAGCAAATTTTCTACAACTGTTCTTCTGTTCTTCATAATTAAAAACTGAAGAACTGTCATCGTGCGCCTCACTGAGAAGTCCTTTAGGGGGTGGTGGTGTGGTGGCAAAGTACGTCATCTATCAAATGCATTGTCCTGGAATCGAATTCCGGATCAATAAGCAAGCCTTCCATCCCTTCAGCGTCGGTCAATTGGTACCACACTCATATGGGAGGATAAAAATACCACTCGTGTATCGGTGGCCCGGTGATTCACGGTATGGGTCACATATGCATTCCAACCATCAGCCACTACGATTATAGATAAAGGTCGAGTAAGAGGGTTTCCCGAAATAAACCTAGTTAAGGTCGAGAGAGTATGTCATTTATTTTCTGATTTGGACGAATTCGCTGTTCTAATGTAGTTAAAAAGCGAAAAATATAACTGACTCGCCCATGCTTTCACTTCACTAAATTTGCGGAATAACTGCTTTTCCTGTTGAAGTTTTTCCTTCAGACTTCTATTTTTAGGTGATCCGTTTTTGATACAGGACAACAGTCGTGGTCTAATCGGTAGATGCGTTCGGATGGATCAAGAAAACGGGTAAGCTAGCTATGGACAGTTGTACTCGTTAATTCAATACAGCCATGGGACAACCGGTCAAAACTGGGGTGAGGAACTCGAAAGTAAATATATTATCTGAGCCTTTATTTTTGTCCGAAGTTCACCTCAAAAAGGTATGAACAGTAGCGTTGTTGGAGCACCCTGGTAGCTATTTTCAGTTCAGTTCACGAGAGTAGCATAAGGGAATGTAAAGGGGAAAAAGAAGTGATGGCGTCCCACTCAAAGGTTGTGAGCATGATAAGAGGACTTTCTACAGGTTGACCCCAGTTTTTTTGCTGAAAATTCATCTCGACTTGGGCAATCCATTAGTTTCGAAGATTGAAGGACTCAGCCGCAGCCTAGAAGCATCGTTAAGTGCCAACAGTATCCTCTCATATACATCCATTGTACAAAGTACTTTAGGTTGGAAAGTACGCGTCATAAATTAAAGCTCATAATCGAGTTCCACACTTGCTTGCACCACAGAGCATGACCACGTACCCCGCTAAGAACCTTGTTGAGGAATCTCGGAACATCTGTGCGTACTGCGCTCGACGAAATGGACTATTCCACAAACGAAATCTCTGATCAAAAGTCCCATACGGACTCCAACATTCGTCGTGTAAACGCAAAATTCTCGGAAATTACAGCTTTGATTGCTCTTAAGGTCGTGTGCTATCACTTACAATTAGAACACTCCGATTTGCGTGTTAGAGCACCCACGCAGCCGTCCATGTGCTGTCCTTTCCCTTTCTTCCATTTTCACCGTGAGGAGAAGAAAACTTAAGCTTTGTACTCATCAATCTGTGATACACGAAAATTACACTAAATTCAGAGGGGAGATGAAGGTCTCGGAGAAATTACTGTGCAAATAAGTATTTTGAGAAAATCATTTACTCAAATAATGTATTATTTGCTATACTTGCAGGTCATGTTGGCAGTGTTTCCTCGAAGGCACCGATCGGGAAGTGGCACGACTAGAGCGTGGTCATTTGCGATTTGTACCCGACGTTTCGTTCCAGTTGAAGCTACTTGTTCTGGCTGCCATGACCAGAGTCATTGGACAACCACGTGTACAAACTAACTGCTTTCCATTTCTAAGATACTGACAAACTGTGTTTGGAATGTTCAACGTGGTTGATTAGCTCTAATTGAGAGATATAAGGTCAGAACTAGCTCTCGGATGAGCGAAAGGTTGACAAGATCATAGCATTTCGCACAATCGGAGTGGGAATGAGCATTCTTGTTGGAGGGGAAAACCATGTATCGAACGTCCCGTCGTTTTACTCGACCCAATAACTAAATCTTTGTGTTTGAGATGTGAATGGCCGTAACAGAATATTCAGGCTAGTTCAGACTATTTGGAGAGCTAGTTATTTCCCGTCTTTGCCGACCTTGGTCTGTTTTTCCTCGGTCTCCACGTCTGTCATGTCTGCTCTGAAGACTTAAGGACTAAACTTAGGTCTTCAACATCCGTTCGAAAACGTGTACTTTATACCAGTGCTGTACAGATTTAACTTCTTTTTGTTAACGATAAGCCATTGCTTCCGAATGTTTTCGCTTACAAAGCATTCCCACCATTTCACAAGTGCTGCAAAGCAGCCAGACGCTAGCAAAAGTGATCTCGATGTTTCCATGCAGATGCTTGAGATAGTGTGCTGTAATAAATTTTTTGATAATGTTTATCTTACTGAATTTTACAACGAACTGATATGAGTAGTTTTATTCGAGCACAGGGAAATCAAGTGGCAGCCCTACCTAGAAAGCCTTTGAAAGGAGTGACAACATTGAGGCAGATAAGGAATTTGAGATTTTCAGGGTTTCTAGCATAAACATAGACATCTACGCCGTTTTAGGCTGTTCGGAGAGAATGTACCAGGAATTCTGCAATCGTCTAGATTCATTCTAGAATGCTCTCGAAGTTTTCATCGATTTGCTATATGAGGGCACTGATCCCGCGCCTATCGAAGGACCGACTTGTCTCCTCATATTTTTCGCAAACTTAATTATGAGGTTGCATCCAGGCATTCAGCTGAAGCCCATCTAGACTTCTGTGTAGTATTTCACCCTGGAGCCCTCTCAAGCGGTTGTGGGCAATGCTCGTTCCAACGCTTCAAAGCTCAAAACAAGAAAGGCAGAGGTGAGCCTTCATCTGTGCTAACAGCTGCCCTTTCTTGTTCTCCCTAACTTTGATCCCGTTTTGTCGAAGATTCGCTGTGTGTGTCAACCGTCTACATTTTCATCTATCTATGGCATTCACTATTGTATACCCTGCTCGTTATCTCCAAGTGGGCAGGGCTACTTGTATAACTGCCCTGAAGTCTGCATTTTGATCCTGTCTAGTCACATACAACCACAGGCCCATCTCAGCATCCTCATTGTTGTATTTCATGGTTTTTACTTCCGGGTCAATATTTGCTGTCGTAGAGCATCGCGGGCTTTACTGCTGTTCAACACACCTTTCCTTTCAGTGTCGTGGAGCAATGTCGTTACTCACGATACCTGTGGATCCTCCACTACACCCATGCCGCGTTTATTCACTCCTTCACAGCATGGTCCACTCTACTGTATGCAGTGTTGTCGTTTTACAGAGTCTTTAGTCCTGCACCCTCGGTGGCCTCCGCGAAGCAATCTACGATTGGATCTGCACATTCTTGCGAGCCCAAGAAAATTTGGTTTTTTTCAGATTAGGCTAAAGTCCATTCTCCTTCAAACCCTTTGAAATCTCTGAAACTGGTCCAGGGATTCATCCCGACACTCCGCTACTTTCATCAACATAGAGGATGGCCTTCACCAGGAAACTTTTTTTTAATACAATTCTTTGTAAGCAGGAAGCGGAACTGGCTGTTAGCTGATCCCTGTGACTTCCATCCGGGACCTCTATTGCATTTGTTAAACCGTGAAGGGTGCTTATGACCGTCTCGGACCCATATTAAGTTCCCTTGACCAGGAAAGCAGGTCTCCTAGAACGTTTCTTGCTCGAAGCACTCTCCAGAAGAGCGCTCGCGGAAGGAGGTCGGGAGCCTCCTCCATGTCTAGAAAGTTGCGCAACAGTCTCAGCTTGTGCAAGGCTTTCGACATGCGATTTTACTTATATTTGCTAGTGCATGAAGGAGCTGAGACCATCAACCAGATGACATTATATTATATAGTTGCTTCAAATGCAAACTCCTGGTTCCATGGAGTCAGAAATCAAAACGGTGTCTTTTCAGCCTAGGTGATACGCATTTTTTCGTTCTAGGAGGAAGTAACTGGAGAAAATCTTCATTAGCCCCCAACCAGAAAATTATCGCTCGGGTGAAGGAGGTAAGATGGTCGACCACATGTTCTGACATCAGGTGCTTAGAGTGCGATTTCCTGCATCTTCCTAGAGCTATAATTGAAAAAGTTGGAGATCAGCCTTACTGCCAAGGAAATGAAATAGTAAGTAGTAGTATACCACCAGTAAATTAATGCTTTTAAAGCGGGGGATCGCTTAGGGCCGTTGGACTGCGACCTTTTCTTTCAAGTTCTCCGCACCTCTTGTAGTATACGTACTCACCTTTCTGAAAAGCTTCTTGTCCATTTACCACCTGATAACGACGTCGGCATTGGCCGTCCATAGATATCCCGCTAGTTGGTGACTGTTGATGCATTAAAGGCACAGTTCACAACAATTTTTAGACACCTTTTTTAAGTCCTTTTTTAAGTCAAAAAGAGGGAGTTGGGAATAGTACATCAGTAGTGAAGAGGTGAGAAAATTCGCCGATTTTGCAAAAGTGAGGCTCCTCAGAAGTGGTGGAAAAAAGGTTTTACGATGTATCATTATGGAAATGATATAGAAAGGTCATTTGGACGGGGTTTTGTTCGTTGCAGATGCGAAAAGTGCTGACTACATCAAGCCGAAACTCCACAGAATCACTTTTCGCCGTCGCTACGATTCATGAGGGTCAGGTGAAGGCAAAGGGTTTTTTTGCGTGGATTCAAGTTTTCTCATTGCGAGCTCTATTGTTCAAACGGCACAATCACGAACGAACTACGTGGATCCTTAGGAAGCCTGCAAGGAGGGAGAAATTCAGCTTGGCACAGCAGAAACAGAAAACCCGTTCCCTATATCAACATGTGTAATACTCCAAGGCAAAGACAGTTGCTTTTGACTTGCCGTTACCCCTTCCCTTCGGTCAGAAGATAACGGGACCTTCACGCCAACCATTTCAAGGAATTCTTTTCGAAATGGCTCATGTTTTGCTACGCAATATCACAGATGATTAATCGAATAGAATGTTTTTCTTATGAAGATGAACGGATAGGAATCTTTCAATGAGTATCATTCTGAAGTTGCGCCTACACATTCAACTTTTAATTGGCATATTGTTGCACCACCGAGATTGTGCATACTTATCCTAATTCGTCTATAAAGATTGGGATCGTATTGGTGCGAAAGTCGTATTTGCAGTGTACCAAACCTGAGCGAACAGGAATATGTGCAGATCGAAACCCTGCCTGTATATCCATAACCATCCTACTAGTATATATATTGGGTGGTAACATAAGTTCGTAGAGTTTTGTGTTAGGGTCATTTTACAAAGATTCGCTTTGTTTTTTGGCAAAGTGTATGTATTCATTCGAAAGAGCTCTTTCTCCTCTATAAAATAGTTTCATTCGTTTTTTTGGATAGTCTAGTTGTACGTCTTTTTTCTGGCTCAGAATTGGAATATCCAGGAGGAGAAAATCAGCATTTTCGACATCTGCTTTTCATAAGCAGATGTCGAAAATGCTGATAAGGACAATAAGCAGCCGAAGCGGCTCGGGACATATGCAGTGTGTACGAGGAAGGTGTCCTAGGTGTGTCTCTGGGTGGCCCCAGGAGAGGCACCGAAGCCGAGAGTCAAGCAAGACCTTCACTTAAAATAGGTCATGATTTGCGTTTGGTGAGACTGGAAAGGCACGGTGCACTGGGAAGTGCTCGAGCGAAATGCTACTGTCAACAAGGAGGTCTACATTGCCTAGCTTAACCGTGTTAGTGTTGCTATTCTGCTGAAATGACCCGATAGACAAGGTGAAGTCATCTTGCTCCACGACAACGCCAGGCCCCATAATGCCCAAGTCGTCAAAACAGCACTCCAAAAGCTTGAGTGAGAGGTTCTTCAGCATACACCGTACTCTCCGGGTCTTGCACCTACCAACTACCACCTTTCCGCTCTCTGTCAAACCAAATGAGGAGTGTTACCTTTGATGACGAAGAGGTTCTTGGAAACTGGCTCAACAACTTCTTCGACACCAGACCGGCCGATTTTTGGCGAAACGGCATCAACAAATTGGTCGAGAGATTGGAGGAGGTCGCAAACAGTAACAGAAAGATACATCATTGATTAATTTATTATTATAATTATTGTTTTTTGGTCAAATAAATCTGTGAAAAAACTCTACGAACTTATGTTACAACCCAATATATGGCCCTATATGTGTCTCTTGGTCTGTCTGTGCGTTTGTGTGTGCGTCCGACCGAAAGTTCGTAACTTCTGTTCCCGTGGACCTACAGCGTTCGAATTCGGTAGGACTACAGGTGGCAGGGTAGGAACACGTATGAAATCATACATGCACGCTATTTGGGAAAGTCTTCTCAATATCGGAATGTCAAAACATCGATGAGAGGAAGTAACTGCACTGGTGTGCAAAACTTAAGGACGAAAGAAACTTTCGACTACTGTACCTCTGCCAGACGACGGAGCTCGATGAAATTCATACCGTACCGATAGAGGATCATTACGGTATTGCACAGGAAGCAACTAACAGAAAATCGAAGTAGGACGAGCAAATAAGACATTTTTATTGAAAAGTACCGATTACTCATAGTTCCTCACAAATTATCCTAATATTTCAAAAAAAGGGACGCGGTTCCTAAAAGGATGTGTGATCACCACGGACAACAGTAAATGCTCTGCAATGCGATCCAATGCTTTCCACGATGTTGGAAATGAGTTATTGTGGTAGGACATTCCACCCCTCTTTCAGCGCAATTGACAACTGCTGGATGGTCAGTGATGCATTTGGACG